GAAGGTATTATTTCTTCTGATTAATATATTTCTTTATTGATCTTATCAACCAAGTTTTATTGCTTTGGTCTTTCAAGTTAGAAAGGACCTATAAAAATCTAGCTTTTAATTTTAGTAAGTATCTGTTATCTTTGGAGAATTACTCCAACTATCTAATAAATATAAAATTATGATATTAACAGTTTTCTGTTATGACACAAATATTTGTTCGATTTAGACAGATGACAGAACAAGGTAACAACAACAATAATTGATATTTCCTATTCTTGAGCATATGCTAAAAATTAATTTATAAGTTAATTGATTATATAAATTTTTTGTTGTTCGTTGGTAGAACAACGGAAATTAGCTTATGCCATTCGGAGGATGGATAAATATATTAGTTCAACTGCCGCAAAGCCAAACATACAAAACCATTGTGAAGGCGAGCAGAAAATTTCAGGTAACCATAACATACTCATTACTTATCATTACAGTATACATAACAAATTAAATATGGTACTGTAATTGTAATAAATTTTGTAGGAAGAAAGAGAAAAGCAGTTGTGCATACTGAAAATATTGATAAACAGCTCAACCATTCAACGACGCAAATCAGGAATGGTATGTTAATTCAACTATACCTTACTAAATTTGGGAGGTATGCTCATGATTATTTAGGATATTAATGCGGTATATGATACTTTATTCTCTTCAAATAATAGTTGAAACTATAGAAGGTTACACGATAGAAGTCAAAAAGTTCATTGCACTTAAATTTGGTTCCAAAACAAGTACAATAGTACCGTTTGAGTAAATATGATTACACCAAAATACTGATCCTTATGATTTTCACGGACATATCAATCTTACTACATCTTCACATTTAACAGTGATCAATCCAAATCTGCGATACAAATTTTAGATTATTTTTTTATTGTAGAAAATTGGCAATTAGGTGCCTCAATGAGAAAGGTTCAAAAATGTATGAGTGGGAATATTCAAGACTTTATCAAAAGAGTGGGAAAGTGAAGGTAAATTTGTCTTGCTGTGTACTCTATGTTTCTGTTGAATAAAGAAATTTAAGATTGTATCTTATGCTTACTTAATTTCTGTATATGTTTCTCTTAGGAGAAGTTTCTTACGAACTATCAATATCACATACTTATAAGTTGGAAAGTGCACCTGAATGCAAATATTGCCATGCTAAAAGGTTTCAATTTGAGCCTTTGGCATTTTGTTGCGCAAATGGGTCTATCAAATTAGCAAATACGGAAGTTTCAGCTCAATTATATGAGTTATTTGTTACACAGTCAGACGAAGCCAAGGAGTTTCGGAGAAATGTTAGAGCATACAATAGCATCTTCTCATTTACATCCTTTGGTGTTAAACTTGACAAACAACTGGCATCTTCAAGGAAAGGAGTTTACACTTTTAAAGCACAGGGCCAAATATATCACGATCTTCCATCATTGGTACCACGTGATGATAATCCATGTTATTCTCAATTATGCTTTTTTGACACTGAGAATGAGTTAAGCAATAGGATATCAAAACTACAAGAAACAAATTTATCAGAGGAAATTGTGAAAAGAATCATGCAGATAATGGATGGGAATCCTTATGCACAATTCTTTCGCCAAATAAAGGATCATTCGGAACTTAAAGATTTGCATATTCAAATTGTTGCAAGTGCGACCCTAGATCAACGAGTCTATAATAAACCCTCAGTAGATTAAGTTGCTGCAATTTGGATAGATGGAAACAATCCAAATGTACCATTCGAGAGAGATATTATCATTCACGAACATTCTGGAAACAAACATAGAGTGAAACATTATTATGGTTGTTATGATCCACTACAGTGTCATATACTTTTTCCAAATGGCGAAGTCGGTTGGCATCAAGAAATACAAAAAATAAATAAATCAAACATAGGTTTGGGCACAAGTGATATTGCAAGCATCAATCAAAGCACCTCAACCTTTACCTCTGCTGAAGAGGTGATTAGCAGAGAGCAACAAGGTAAAGTATTCCAAAAAAAAAAAAACTATCCTTTAATGATTTAGTACTTTTTTTATTGTATAGTTTCATCGCTCTCAATATGAAGACGATAGAACATTTGATATTTTTCCCATGAAATAATCTTGAAACATAACTCTTTTGTAGGTGTACAACGTGAATCTAAATTATGTGTGTCATGTAGAGAGTACAACTGCTATAAACTACAAGTTCGAAGAGGAGAAAAATCCATGTTGCTATTATGTGGACGATTATTGCAACAATTTGTGGTTGACATATACATCAAACTAGAAACAACTAGACTTGAGTATTTTCGATTTGACCAATCAAATTTTAGAAGGAAAATATTGCAAGGTATAGTTGACAGTATCATGGTTGGAGAATGTAGAGGCGATAAAGTTGGCCAGAGAGTAATACTCCCGGCATCATTTATCGGAGGTCCTAGGGATATGCTCGTCGGTATATGGATGCTATGGCGCTGGTTCAACGTTTTGGTAAACCAGACCTATTCATCACAATGACATGTAATGCTGATTGGGTAGAGATTCAAGAAAATTTATGTGAAGGCCAACTTCCTCGAGATAGGCCCGACTTGGTGACCAGAGTTTTTAGAGCAAAATTACAAGACTTAAAGAATCAAATATTCAAGAAACAAATATTTGGGGCAGTAGCAGCACATGTATTTGTGGTTGAATTCCAAAAAGAGGTCTACCCCACATACACCTTTTATTAATACTTAAAGAAGGACACAAGATAACATCACCAGATCAGTATGACAAATATATTACAGCAGAACTACCAGACAAAGATGAATATCCAATATTACATGAATTGGTTGTCAAGAATATGATGCATGTGTTGCGGAAGCCAAATGTATAGAGTGTGAATAAGTCACAACTACTATACCAAAAATTATGACAGCCACCAAATAATAAATAAGACAATAAAGCAATAATAAAGGGAACACCAGAATTTACGAGGTTCGGCTAATTTTGCCTACTCCTCGGACACAACCAATATTTTATTCCACTCCAAAAATACAAGTGAAATAATACTAAAGAGAGAAGATACAAATGCCTTAAACAGATGAGAAGGCAAATGAGAGGTGTGTTTCAATCCTAAACATTAGGCCTTCTTTTATAGGGGAAAAATCCCCCCCAAACTTAACTCCCAACCAATGTGGGACTTTGGCATTTTGCCAAACTTCAACAGCATGGTCCGTGTGGAAATTATCATCCATCAAACCCCTGCATGAAGGATGGTCAGTGCAAAAATCGCTATCCTCGACCATTTTGTAATAAGTCAATACAAGGAAAGGATGGATATCCTATTTATAGGAGAAGAAATGATGGGAAGAGCGCAAAAGCTCGAGGCATGGTGATGAATAATCAGTGGGTTGTACCTTATAATCCTTATTTACTAACTAGATACAACTGTCATATCAATGTTGAGGCTTGCTGCAGAGTGAAGGCTATAAAGTATTTGTACAAGTATATATATAAAGGTCACGATAGGTGCGCTGTTTATATTGAGTCGGATGATGGGGAAAAAATAATTGATGAAATTAAAAACTTCCAAGATGCGCGTTGGGTATCTCCGCTGGAAGCACTTTGGAGAATTTATGAATTCAATCTTAGTGAGATGCAACCTCCAGTCATTAACCTTCAGCTATATTCTCCGAGATAAACAAGCAGGTAAATTCTTATATCCAACAATGAACTTTAATCTCTTATTGATCAACCTTATAGTGACCTGGAAGGAGGTTATCTAATTTTACATTCATTGTTAATTACTTATATATATTCAATCACATACTACTGCCATGAATTTTTAACTCTCATTCTTAATAAGATATGAAAACATAGATTTTTATTGTTACAATGCTTTATTGGCATTATCCAATACAAACTTTGATTCGTAAGGCAAATCATAAGCATTTGGGAAGCTGATTTGGTGTCAAAACAGGCAAAGTATTAGAAAATTTACGGTTCTCTCTCAGCCAATACAACTGGAAAACCTCCAACCAGTGTTTACGACTTTAGATTATAAAGATTAATTCTCTATCTTGTATCGTCAAAAAAAGAAATCTGTATAAATAGTGCAAATATCTTCTTTGTTTTTGATGCATTCATATCAACTGTTCCCTCGCTGGTAAATATTGGAATTTAATTTTAGGATATTACTTTTACGCTACATTGACTATTAAATACCAATTCTTTAGTCTATTTCTCTTTGTCATTGATCGATTAGATAAGATATTGTGTTTAGATGTGTATTAAATTATCCAATATATAATTTCTAACGTAATATTTATACATATTAGTGTACTACTGGAAAAGGCAAAATTTGCAAATTGTTATAGCATCAGACAATGTCAATAAAACCATGCTCACTGAGTATTTCAAGACATGCTTAACAGACGATGAGACACGAATGTACCTATACAAAGATTTTCCAGAGTATTATGTATGGAACTCTCAATCAAAGAAATGGGCAAAAAGGAAAAAAAGATTTGTAACTGGCCGAATTGCTATAGGTAACGAACTGAATATTTCACTCAATGAAGTTTTTATACCTTTCTTTAAATTTCATCTATATATCTTCTTTCCTTGAATAAAGCAGCTAATCCTAAAGAAGGTGAAAGATACTATTTGAGATTATTGTTGAATCATGTTAGAGGACCATTTTCATTTGAAGACTTACTCAAGGTTAATGGAAGAGATTGCCAAACATTCAAGGAATCTGCAAGAGAAAGAGGGTTACTAGAATCAGATAACAGCATTTCTAAATGCTTACGTGAGGCAGTTCTCTTCAAAATGCCATCAGCTCTAAGAAATTTGTTTGCAACTATATTGGTACATTGTAATCCAACAGACACTAGAAAACTATGGGACACATATTACGAGGATATGTCAGAGGACTTCAGAAGGATACATGAGAGTTCATCTGATACTCAATTGTAGTGCACATTGAAGAGCATTAATTATTTCCTAGAAAACATGGGCGAGAGTGTTGAAAGATATGATTCGCCAAAACTTAATCGGAGTCGAGATGATAATGTTACTTCAGAATACAGAGAGATTACTGAAGAAAAGGCAATACAAGTGGATGAAGAAGACTTCTGTGATGACCCAATAATGTCATCTTTAATTTAAATATTTATTTATATGTTTCGTGAAAATGTTGAGAACTTACCTGCTATGAGTTGAGTATCACTTAAATAGTTGATGTATATGGCGTTTCTTTTCTAGCAATAGATTACTTATGAGACCAACGTTGGTATTGTTTTTATGTTGGGTTACGTTGATTGGATTATATATATGTTGTTAGGATTGGTTTTTGGGATTTCTCTGACAGGTGGATAGGTTCAGTTACAAAGGAAACTCTGGCGAAATTTTTGGAAAACTTGGGAGTTAGTCAAAATTTGGGGGTTAGAGATGTGTGAGAAAAGAGATAAGTTATGCTAAGAGTCTGGTGATCGACTCTACTTCTCATTCGAGGACTATTAATATGATGGATACCAATTAGATATGATAATAGGTGTACGAGGCATATTAGAAGAGATATGGGGTCTAAGGAAAGTCCTAAGTCTAAGCCGAGTTGGAAAATTTCATAATAGACTAAAGTTGCAAATGAGTACGCACAAGACCTCAATTTGGACGAGAATATATACATATATATAAGGATATGTGTGAGGCACAACCTATCAAATTAAATCTCTATGAGTCTAGTTTCCAGAACATCAAACCGTTTGTCATTTGGAGGTGTATACAGAAAGTTATGATCATTTTACCGGACATGTGTCATATGCGCGCTCAGGTGCGCGGCCAGATGCGCGACCGCGCATATTTGAAATGTTTCTGCCTGTGAGTGTGGCCGTAGCGTGGCCAGATGCGCGACCGCGCTAGTAAAGCTTGCTATAATACCCTGGACAATGTATAAACCGGGGGGGTCCAAAAATTCTTCCATTTTTGGTCATTCAAGCACGGATTTGGGCGATTCCAAAGGGGGTTTTCACGATTTCGACTTGGGTAAGTGTTCTATATCCGGAAGTGATTACATTTCATAAATCTATTTATTCATCGTTTATTTCGGATTTGGATGAAAGAAATTGAAGTTTGTTTGTAAAATTTTCATAAAAATGAAAATTTAGGATTTGAAGGTCCATTTGTTATCGGAATTCGATAATTTTTGTATGGTTGAACTCGTATCGGAATGGGTTGTCGTATTTTATGAGTTTCTTCGGATTCCGAGATGTGGGTCCCACGGGAAATTTTGAGCTAAATTTCATATTTTAATTTGGAAAATGTGACAATTCATATGGAATTAATTCGTACGAATTATATTGAGTATATTGAATTACTATGACTAGATTTGAAGCTTCAGATGAATTCGCAAGGCAAAGGCTTGTTGGAATTTTGAATTGATTGCAAAGCGAGGTAAGTGTTTGGTGTAACCTTAGCTTGATGGAATAGGAGTTGAGTCTTATTTTCTACTTGCTATTTGTCGAGTACGACGTATAGGCATGGTGACGAGTATCTATACGTTGGTATCTAGCATGACCGTGAGTCTTTATATTGCGAATATTCTAATTTTGTCGTATCTTACATGCTTAATGATGATTTCTATATGTTGTAAGGAGCATGTGAAAGAAATTGCGATATTAAAATTTCGAGGAGCATTGGCTCAAGTTATAATACGAATTGAGAAAGTATACGAGATAATTGAACCCTTTGGAGCAATGGCTCAAGTGGTGGAGTAAGTGATGAATTGAAAGTGAAAGAAAGAGAAAGGATTATTAAAATGTACCCTGGCCGGGTAATTATTGCTTTATTGATTATCTCCCTTGTCGGGATCTCTATTATTATTCTGTTTACTTCCTTGCCCCTTATTTGTGATTGTTGTTTGGGTGAGGAAGAGTGATAAAGCACAAAGGGTGATGCCGTGCATTGTTTGCTATTGTGAGGAAAGAGAGTAAAGCACGAAAGGTGATGTCGTGCTGTACGATGTACCATTTCGTACCGATATTCATTGATTTTATTGTGAGGAAAGAGAGTAAAAGCACGAAGGGTGATGTCGTGCACATGATTATGATATGATTGATTTGGTAAGAACGAGAGTAAAAGCACGAAAGGTGATGCCGTGCAAACTGTTGACTTTTGATACTTGTTGATATTCAGACTTCGATGTTTTCTTCTTTTATTGAGGATTTCTAATTGCAACTGTTGCCTCCCCACAATATGTTTCCCCTTCCCACATTGACTGGTTAATTCCTGTATTTCTTTTCCACTGTACATGTATATATATTTCAACTGCACAGGTTATTTGGTAGTCTGGTCCTAGCCTCGTCACTACTTCGCCAAGGTTAGGCTAGGCACTTACCAGCACATGAGGTCGGTTGTGCTGATACTACACTCTGTGCTCTTTTGCATAGATCCAGGTTTCGGACAACACCAGTAGAGCGGGAGTTAGCACTCAAACTAGCGAGACACCGAGGTAGCCTTGCAGGCGTCCGCAGGCCCGACATCTCCTCTATCTTTTATTTCAGCCTGTTATCTCACGTATTCGAGACAAACAATTTATATTTTCTTTCAGACGGTTGTATTTAGTACTCTTAGAAGTTCGTGAGTAATGTGACACCAGTTCTTGGGTAGAGGCATATGTTGATTTCTGTACTACTGTTCCGTTTCTTTAATTTAAGTTTTCCGCATATTTATTTAATTCCGTTATTTTCATGATATTACTGATAATTGTTAAAGAAGTAAGCAGTTAAGGATTGGCTTGCCTAGATCTCATTAGTAGGTGCCATCACGACTCCCGAGGGTGGAAAATCCGGGTCGTGACAACTTCAATACACAATCAAAGCTAAATCCTGAGCAAAAACAAGCTTTCAAGACTATATTGCAAAGAGTAGATTCAGGTAGAACAAGATTGTTCTTTGTAGATGGGCCCGGAGGAACCGGAAAAACATTACTTTATCGTGCATTGCTTGCAAATGTCAGATCACAAGGTATGATAGCATTAGCAACAGCAACAAGTGGTGTAGCAACAGCAATTTTACCAAGGGGTCATACAACTCACTCTAGATTTGACATACCTCTGCAAACAAATGAAACTACCATTACGAATATGTCTAAGCAAAGTGGCGGTGCAAAATTAATAAGAAAAGCAAAGTTGATAATATGGGATGAAGCACCTATGGCAAGGTGTCAGACTATCGAAACAGTTGACAGCAGCTTCAGATATATAAAGGATATCGATGAACCATTTGGTGGAAAAGTAATGGTTTTTGGTGGTGATTTTCGTCAAGTACTACCAGTAGTTCCAAAAGCGACGAGAGCTGAGACGGTAAATGCTAGCTTGGTAAAATTATACTTATGGCCTAAAATGAAAAAAAATCAGTTAACAAGAAATATGAGAGCAAGAACAGATCCAATATTAAGTGATTTTTTGCTTCGCATCGGCAATGGGGAAGAGCATACAATAAAAGATGATATGATTCTCCTCCTTGAGCAATTAGTTGTCAAACCCAACGGTAATATTAGTGGTGAAGATCACTTAATAACAGAAATATTTCCATCATTAAACGAAAATCGAAGTTGTGCAAAGTACATGACAAAATGAATATGTTGATCAACTAAATGAGATGTTGATTGACAAGTTCCCTGGTGAGAGCAAAATATTTCACAGTTTCAACTCAGCAGAAGATGATACCAACAACTACTATCAGGAAGAATACTTAAATACATTAACACCAAACGGCCTTCCACCGCACAGGTTCGTTGTCAAGTTCAGTATTCCTTATATATATATTACTATCATGTTTGTATATAACAGACACAAAAATTCTCACAACGTTATTATATCAAATTTGAAATGGGTTAGATTCTAACTCTCTAAATGCTTAAAGAGTTCCCATTGAATTAGGAACCATTACATATTTTTATTTTTATAAATATCACTGTATGCCTTCTTCCTCTTTCACTCAGTCATAGTTCGTAATTCTTTAAAAGATAATAATTAAAATAACATGCTTTATGAAGATTTTAATTTATTTTGACAGCTAAATCCCTTTAGTTTTCTTTTACTTCGTGCACATTATTTTTTTCCTCCAGTTCTTTGTTTCTTTAACGGAAGAGTTGATGATAATCTTATAATTGAAAATTGATTTTCTCTTGCATACACGTTGATTTTGAAGAAAAATGCGCCCATTATGTTATTGAGAAATTTAGATCCGTCAAATGGCCTATGCAATGGTACAAGGATGGTATGCAGAGGTTTTGACAACAACGTCATACATGTAGAAATTATGATAGGTCAATGCACTTCCAAGCATGTGTTCATCCCCAGAATTCAGCTTTCACCTCCGGAAAATGAAGGATATCCTTTTAAATTTGTCCGTAAACAATTTCCAGTATGCTTGTGTTTTGCAATGACAATAAATAATGCACAAGGACAAATAATTTCGAATGTTGGATTGTATCTACCGCAACATGTTTTCTCACATGGGCAACTATATGTTGCACTTTCAAGAGGAATATCGATGTCCACAACGATAGTTCTTATCATGACGGAGCAACCAAAGTGTCGAAATGGTACATACACAAAGAATATCGTCTACAAAAAAGTCTCAGGTAAGATATCATCACATTGCATATTCATAAACTATTTGTGCATAGTATTATGTCATAACTGACATGACTTAATTGATCATTTTTGCAGGTTCGGGCTATGATATCCAATCAGTTTGAGTTCCCATATTACGCTAATATATGTAATAATATTTCTTCTCATTTAAATTATAGCGGCTTTTCATATACATATATTTTAAGGGTTGTTTTATTACTCATATTTATCTTATTCATTTAATTTGGTGTCCCTTCATATAAAGAATTGACTAAACCATCACGTGTCATTATTAACGTGCAACACACATACATAATAATTAGTATTATTATAAAAGAATAAATACAATGTTGGTTTACAAAAATAACCTTATAATATTATGCATAATAACTCACAATGAAAGGACATAACCGGAATTCTAATAGCATTAGGACATATATAATATTACACATTAGCATATAAACCTTTTACCTAAACTTAATACCTCTAGGAACACTTAGGTTTTTTATTATTATAATTATTTTTGGGACAGAGATCGTATCTCTTAGGATATACTACTTCTTAAAAAAATTATTACTAATTTAATTTGAAACGCAATATATTATTTTATTACTAATTTAACTCGAATCCATTTAGCAAAAGGAGGAGTCAAATACTTTTATAAAAGAAGACACTATTTCATATTCTCCATCATAGCGAATTGATGGACAAAAATATTTCGTTTGACATTATTCTTAACAATATATTTGTAAATTACTTTTGTCAAAAGAATATAAATCCAATTCTAACAGAATTTAGTACTTTCAGATGAAATAGACTTTTTATTCAAAACTAGGTTAGTCATGCGTTGGGTCTTTCACGTACTTTTTAGTGTTATTTTAGGTTTTCGTTTATTTAATTTTACTTTTGACAGAGCAAAAATTAATCTGATAACTAAAATAATAAAATGATCAACGAAAATATCGTAAAGCAAAACAAGTTATTATTCATGTCAAGTCAAAAATTGTAACCAACTAATTTTATAATCTTCGAAAGCTAAAGTGTTTTCTTATATGTATAAATAACTCCATGTAGGGTAAAATTATAATATTTAAAGCTCTAAAGTTAACTAATAACAAACTTTTTCAAAATTTATACTGGAATTTATAATAGAGTTTTATTTAATTAAATATGCAATTTCGTGTTGAATAAAAATGTAATAATTCAGATTTTACTCAATACTTAGGACTTTTAGTTCCACTAATAATCTACTAAAAATTGTTATTTGACTACAATTGTGATATTTAGTGTAATAAATATACAAATTTTCCTTAGACCAATGTGGCAACTCTGAATATGGCAGTGTTATTTAGATTTCAAAGGCTTTTTTTCTTTTTGCGTTTCTCTTTTAATTGGGGAAAAATATTAGAGGTAAGTCTCCCCTAGGTTTATCTTGCTTCTTTTTAGATGGTATGGTATTTGGAGATGTTTAGATAATCTATATCTATATCTATATCTATCTATGCTATATTAAAAGCATGAAAACCCGTAGCGAAATGTCGTTCGCCTTATTTACCCTTTAAAATAGAGTTGTACATTAGACAAAATAGTCTTTTAATTACTTTCAAATATTTAGGACTTTAAATCAACTAAAATATTTGCTATTAAATTATTTCCTTCTTTAAATTATGTAACAATTCCTAATATTTAGGAAATCGAAATCAACTAAAATTTTCTTTATTAAATCTTTACTTATTCCAACTATCTACAAACTTATATTCTTCTAAAATTTAAAAATTCCAAACACGCTTTGCCTTAAATATTCTCATACCAAATAGTAGAAAACTATTACTCTTTCTTCTTGAAGGCCGTTTCCATTTGAAATTCTTGGACTAAAATAAATTAAAAGATAATTTAAATTAAAGAATTGATTTAATAACCAATAAAAGAAAGGTAGACATTACTTTGTAACGGGAAGGAACACATTTTACTCCATAATAGTATGAAAGTTTACGTTTATTTTTTTCAATATAATAATCAAGCAACATTCTTATTTATTAAATGCAAACAGAAGGTATATTATTTTTAATTTGTTAATGATTATACAAAGTCAATCAAGATATTACCACAATTTGAAGACGTGCACGCTGAAATTCGTATTTAACTATTTTCTTACTTATCTGTTAATTTAAAATTAAGAAAATAATTTAAGAAGAAGAAGTTTAGCATTTTGATACCAAATATTCGAATGTGCTAAAACATCAGAATAATTGGGGTCCTTTTTTTCCCCCTAATATCTATAACTTCCAAATCAATAAAATTTTATTTATTATATATTTTCTTACTTGAACTATGTACGATATTAAAATATTTAAATTTCAAACTCAATTAAAAGTTTAACATACTAAATTATTTTATTTAAGTTATAATTATAAATTCGTGACAAAATATCGGTATCACGATTATGATTGTGACAAAGCTAATTCAAGTGATAAAAGAGAAAATCAATCTTCTTTTTAATTAAGTAAGATTCAATCAATTAAACTCAAGTACTGTATCATTATAATATTATCAACAAATAACTTCATTTAGTTAAATGTAATTGTATGTCGTAACTCAGTAAAATATCTTCAAATATGTATGTAGATAAAAATAAATATTTTAAACACCATTGTAATGATTTATATGAAACATCAAAATCTCCATGAAATATTCATAGATTTTTATACCTTTTGTGAATTATGTTACATTACGAAATACTTCATGTTGGATAAAAATAGTAATTAGCATTAATTCTCTACCTTAATCTTTTTTGACAATCATTGTTTCCTTTCAAGAAATGAATTTAGATAGATTTGAACAATACCCATCCAATTGAATTTTTCGTACGATAACTAAACCTAATAATATAGAGTCTCTCTTTGTTTTCCGTATTTTTTAATTTGAGTTTCAATAAAATAAGATGAAAACTAACATAATTAATTTTTAAGAGCATGGTGAATATAGTATTATTGCATGATATTTGAATACAAGTCAGACATATTATTCAACTACTAAAGCAAATGCACAACTCATATATATTAAAGTTATGATACGACATTAAAATATTCTTATGTGACATGCTTTTTTCATTTTAAGTTGGCTAAATATGACAATATTGAGCTTGCACTTTTTCTAAAATTTTATTTTATAATTCAATCACATAGTTTAATAATATTTATGTGATTTTTAAAATTTTATACTCATTGATATAGAGTACACGCGCAACGCGCGTAACCTAAAACTAGTATATTAAAAAATAAAAATGAAAATTTTGTCCAATGTGATTAGAAACCAAAATTTAAAAAAAGTAATTGTTTAAAATTCGGAAGAACTAAAAGGAGTTCGAAGCTTACGTTTACTTGAGTTCGAGTCAAATAATGATTAAATCGCTTATAACAAAATAAAGAAAGGAAAAACTTGAAAATAAAAACTTTTCCAAGATTCCTAACGTGTTTAAAACTTCTTTTCGCTTTTGCTTACCAGAATAGCCAATATGTTGGGTAGAATTAGACTAAAAAAGAAGTAAAATTTACGTTTTATTTGGATTTGGACAAAGCTAGAGTTTTATTTTATTTAAGTTGAAGTCTGATAATGATTAAATCATTTCTAACAAAATAAAAGGCAAAGACTTGAAAATAATTATGACTTCAAATAAGGAAAGAATTTAATAATCAAAAGTTTAGTAGATTTCAAATTCCTAAATATTAGGTTAATAACTTGTTTACCTCGAAAATACGAGTAACAATTAAATTTGATTTGTAGTTTTAAAGATATGTGATTTAGTTCAATACCAATTAATAATCAAGAAATATGAAGTAGAAATGAACAAGACAAGTGAATCAAACCAGTGTTACCCAACAGCGGTGACCTCGAGCTTAATGACTTTGAGGTGGGCTTAGAACAATAAGAACAATTAAGCAAGAAAAGTAGAGTAAGAACAGTAAAGCTAAGGATAATTCTGATGAACAGTAAGCGAA